GTCGGATCTTTTACTCTTTCCTGACAGAGTAATTATCATTCCTTTTACACTTCCATAAACAATCACAACCTTCAAATGCACTGTGACGGACCGCCCAGTACCCCAACTGGGTACCTCCGTCAGAAATCAGCTTCCTCTCCGCTGGAACCTTAATTCCAGTGTCCTCAGCCCAAACCTGCCTAATTATTGGACAGAACCAATGTATTAGGACATAAAGCGAAACTCCTCAAACATCAGACAACACCAATGTTGAAGGGGAAACCAAGAACTGCTTTTTTGAAGAAAGCACACAGTTTATACCTCACAGAATCCAATTAGAGTTCAGTGTGTTGAACAATCCCCTCCCCCAGACAGCCAGGTGCTGCATTGGTATTCCTGAAGCACATACACTCTTTGAACTTAATGAATGTCCTTAATCGGATCATCCCAAACAATGGCCCCTCCAGACAGCCTGCTGCCTATACTGAACACAGGGTCACCTAATTGTAATGTCAGGGGAAACATGCAGTATTTTCACTCCACACATAAACCTAGGAGAATGGTTCCATGTAACCCCAAGATGTCTGAGGGGGGTCTCCATAGTTCTAGGTCCATAGTCAGTAGGAAGGAGGCTCCTCCAGCAGCCCCAGTGACGGTTCAGTCCGTCACTTGCACAAGTAGCAGCAATATGCACAGCTATTGCTCTGAAAAAAGATATGGCAAGGAAAACTGTCCATTGGACCGACTGTCCCTCAAGCGGACCCTTTAACAGCATCTCAGTGCAACTTCTTGCAATAGCTGGCATGTATCCAAGAGGGTTTCCCTTCGAGTTTGACAGCGGTCTCTGTAGTCAGCAAAACCTGGAAAGGCCCTTCTGATCTCTCCAAGACTTTTCCTTGTCAGTTTTCTCACTAACACAAAATCCCCTGGCTTCAAGCAATGGGTACCTGTGTCTGTTTACCTGAAGAAGGAACCGCGGTTCCGAAGCGTCGTTATATGATGTGATGGCAATCGAGTCAATAAACCATTTTTTGACTTTAAATTCTATTGGAGTGCGAGTGACTTTATACATACACTTATCTTGGATTTTATATTATCTATGGGATTTTATTAATTATATTGGTTATATGTGATTTATTTTTCACGTATTATGATTATTGATTAGTGCAATGCATCTTTTTGATCTAACTTATCTTCGATTGCAGAGGCATCTGCAGTCACTTTTAGCACCCACCCGACTCTAAGGGCATTATGCGGTCAGGAGGGCGATGGGTACACTAGATTTTGTGTCTGTGAAGGTTCTCAGTAGAAAACGGGACTTTCCAGCACTCCATAAGTAGTTTTCAAATGGTAAACCTCCATTTAATCGGACATAACGTTGCAAACAAAAGAACCAACGTTTCGGGGCTGCACAGGGTCCCTTCATCAGGGTGATAATGTGACCCTTCATCAGGGTGATTAGGTCACATTATCACCCTGATGAAGGGACCCTGTGCGGCCCCAAAACGTTGGTTCTTTTGTTTGTGACGTTATGTCTGATTTAAATGGACATTTACTATTTGAAAACTACTTATTGGGTGCTGGTGATTCCTGTTTTCTACTGTTGATGTGCACGGTGCCATCCGCGATTGTCACTGCAAGCACCATTATTACCATTTGGGCCGGGAACGCTGTAATAAGTGCAGAGGGACTCTATTCTCTGTGGTTCATCCAGGTCATGGTAAATCTGTAAAAAATAAGTCAAGGCACCTGGACTTGTATTTTTCTTGAAGACGTTTCACTGGTCATCCAACCAGCTTTCTCAATTCAGAATGACAAAAATTATCTTTTTTTTTTTTATCCTTTTGCCACATGAAATAAAGGAGTGTTTGCAGTGCTGGTACATAACTATATAACACCAATGCTGATAAGCTTATCCAATTGTTCCTTTATACCCTGTATTTGAGCCTGGGAGAGAGGATACTGCTTCAATCTAGGGATTGTTGCACCTTCCTTAACCTCTACTTAACAGGTGGAACATCAAGAACTGAAACCTCATACCTATCTGTTGCCCAGAGTGATGTTGGCAAGTCTAAAAGATTGGGGATTGCTAACAGTTTGGTGCATAACCTGGAGGCAGGCAGCAGCTTCAGCCAAAACCTCCTCAGTGAGTTTAGATATCGCTCTCATCCCATTTTCACTATATTCCATAGACGCTCTAATGACCTGCTAATGCATCTGCACCTAATAGGTTAACAGGAACATCATCTGAAACCAAAGCTTGAAGACACAAAGCAGTATCCTTCCCAAGGCGCAATCTAAGGGGCTTAGTTTCTTTGAGAGAGACTGATTCCCCAGTTAAACCAGCACTTGAAACAATATTATTGTTGAGGCAGCAAGGGGGAACTTCAGAAGCACAGAGGACTGTGCGGGCTGCACTAGTGTCAAGTAAGCAGTCAAAACTTCTGTCCCCCTCAGGGAAGGGCATTTCATCTGGAAACAATGTTAATCTTGCCTCTGCCACTTCCCTAGACAATGTCTTACTGGTTTCCTATGCTGTAGCAACAGTAGTGGGTGTTAGTGTTGGCATTGGTGTGAGGCCAGGGCAACTTCTGGCAATGTGCCCAAAATTGTGACATGCTTAACATTGAATCTGAGACACAGTATCAGGGGTGGGCTTCTGATAATTCTGCTGACTCCTCCCACGCCCCCTACCTCGACCACGCCCTCTATTCTGACCAGCCTGTTGGCTCAAACAAATTTTGGGACAGGTTGACTTTTCTGCAGTCGTTTGCTGTTCTATACCCGCTAGACATGCAAGTAGGACATGTTGGTATTTCAATCCCACATGATTTTAAGAGATTTTGCAGTGGAGTTCCCTATTGCTGCCACCATTACTGCTTTTAAGTCTTTAGCACTGCAAACCTGAGTTATTTGCAAAAATCTCATCTTTTTACTGGACACTGGACCCTTAACTGGGTTGGGCAAATAATTAAGTATGATCCTCATTTCTAAGGAAGTGATTGGCACATGCCACTGTACAGTTGATATTATCCCCTTTCTACATTCCTCACAGGGAAAGTGTTACCAGCAGCTTCTTGTACTGCGAAAGTTTGAGCTGCCTCGTATACTAGAGTCTCTGCCCCTCCCTCAAGTATGCCACAATCATTTGCCGCTCACATTTTACAGCCAAGTTTTACTCCTACCCCCACAGATTCATCAAAATCCTCAATGAGTTTGTTTAAATTAATACCTCTCCTTTAATTATTGTCAGTTTACAATTTAACTTGTTCCCCTCCTGAATGTACACAGTATTGTAAACCATTTCTCGTTCCAAATACTCCGCAATCTTATCTGCAGTTGTCAAATAGCCTGTAGTTTTAAACTGCATCCTTCCCACTTGAAGTTCTAAATTAGGCTTCGTATAGTCTGAGCAATCTTTCCTTATGATCCTGTACTAATGAATCCATAGACTTCAACATTGCTGAGGTATAATTTACATACCTAGCTGTGGTTGGGCACGAGAACAGTCAGATCTAACGGGGGGCTCAGTTACTCCTCGAGAGAGCGCAGATTTTTGGGACATACTTATCCCTGCACCAATGAGGGGAGCATAAAGAGGGGGGAATTGTTCTACACCAGAGGCTGAAGAGGGTTGGGGCTTTACTTTATCCTCTGGTGCAGCAGGAATCGCATAAAATATACCCTCACTGGAAGTTAACTCAGTGATTACTAATCTGTTCAACATCTCTGATTCAGACTGCCATTGTTGGAATGCATCCCGCATACCCTTATTTTCAATTAATTTACATGACATGTCATTCACAAATTTTGCCATAATTTTAAGTCAAAAATGTTATTTTTAGGTATTGGTTTCTCCCAATTATTTGTCCAATAACTCCAAACTGATAGAGGAGCAACACATGAGGATCCTTACTTTTTCTGCATATAAGAAGCGGCTGACACACCCTTCTCCTCGCACAGTCCTGGACCTTGGGCCTCTCGGGTTGTCTTCTTAAAGAGCCCCTGCCCTTTCATCTGCACATTCCCCATGTTTGCATCAACTCCTATCAGTGACTATATAGTTGTGACGGACTGAACCGTCACTGGGGCTGCTGGAGGAGCCTGAGGGCTAGCCTCCTTCCTAGCGACTACGGACCTAGGATTATGGAGACCCCCTTGTTGGGTTGAACTGGGTGTCCGGGGCCCATGGATGGCTGTTGCGGGTTAGCCTGGCCCTACAGCCGTCCAATTTCACAATTCAATAATGGCTCTGGAAACCTAATGTTAATGACAATGGATTATCCCAGCAGATGGACCAATCCCTGCTGACTCTGTTTCAAGCCTTCATTTGCATGGCCACACATCAGCCTTCCCTTTCAAGCTATCGGACCAATCCCTGCTGACCCTGTTTCAAGCCTTCATTTGCATGACCAATAGGAAGTTGTTGTTTGGGCGGGGATGTTCAAACTGTGGTGTATAAAAGTGTGTGTGCATTCAATAAAGGAGATCCCTGTTGGAACTTACATACAGCCTGCCTGGTGTTTGTTCTGAGCTGGATTTGAACGGCACATAGCTGTAGTTGGAATCCTGGATTATCGGACGATCGAAGAATCAGACGTGCGGTCTGACATCTGATCCAATAGTAGCAGAGGAGTGCCGGGAGAGTGGAACCGAGCGAGCAGGAACTCGTTACATTGGTGGCAAGCGGCAGGATCTGCTCTCCAGTTAATGGGACATTCCAAAACACCACAGGGAATGACCAGCTATGCAGCCTGCAGGAGAGGCACGCTGAAAGACCTACTTGAGAGCCGAGGAGGGACCGCAGGGACAAAGAGTAACGCCACCCTGATCAGTGAGCTAGCCGAAATGGATCAGAGGGATGGTGATGCTGGACCCCGGTCCATTGGAGACTTGTTTCAGCAACGGGTTCGACAGCGGTTGGCATTATATGGTGCCAACCCATCAGACCGCCATACAGAATGCCATTAGAGGCATCCAGCTGCAGGATGAGCGACAAAAGAGAGAACTAGAGCGGCAACATGAGTGGAGAATGGCGCAACTACGGCAATCAGAGACAACAGCTAGAGATACAGCGCCTTTCCGTAAGTTGCCCTTTCGGACGTTCATACTATTTAAGATGGAGATCCAGGGAGAGGAGGGATCTGACCTCTCTCCCCAGCAGCAGATGAAACTACCAATCCCAGCAGAAGAGCTGGCTACAGGGCAGAGTGCTGCTATCCTCTGCCCCGCACCCATAGCCCCCCTGAAGCTCCTGCCAGAGATGGCGGCCAACCCCATTTCCTCGTCACCAGCTTCAGACGTGGGGGACCTTAGATTTTGATGCAGAGGAACTACTAACCCCAGCAGAAGAGCTGGCATCAGGGCAGAGTGCTGCTATCCTCTGCCCCGCACCCATAGCCCCCCTGAAGCTCCTGCCAGAGATGGCGGCCAACCCCATTTCTTCGTCACCATCTTCAGATGTGGGGGACCTTAAAGATTTGAATGCAGAGGGACCGCTGTCCCATCCACTCCCAGCCGAAGAGCTGGCAACAGGGTTCCAGGGAGAGGAGACAGCTGACTTCTCTCCCCAGCGGCAAATGGAGTTCCAGGGAGAAGAGGTAGCCAACCTCTCTCCCCAGCAGCAGATGAAGCATCTGGAAAAAAGTGCAGCGGATACTTGTTCCCAGTGGCAGTCTTTGCCCCAGGGAGGGGAGGCAGCCGTTCTCACTCCCCAGCGGCAGGCAATGGTGCAGGGAGATGTAGGGGCCCTCCAGACCCCCCAGCGGCGGTTTGTTTTCAGGAAATCAGATGCCTGACATGTGAATTTGTCTTGTCCGGCTAACACAGGTCCAGACCAGTTCGGGGTCTGGTACCTGGTTAGTCTACTGTTGGGAGGGGAGAAATGTGACTGACTGAACCGTCACTGGGGCTGCTGGAGGAGCCTGAGGGCTAGCCTCCTTCCTAGCGACTACGGACCTAGGATTATGGAGACCCCCTTGTTGGGTTGAACTGGGTGTCCGGGGCCCATGGATGGCTGTTGCGGGTTAGCCTGGCCCTACAGCCGTCCAATTTCACAATTCAATAATGGCTCTGGAAACCTAATGTTAATGACAATGGATTATCCCAGCAGACGGACCAATCCCTGCTGACTCTGTTTCAAGCCTTCATTTGCATGGCCACACATCAGCCCTCCCTTTCAAGCTATCGGACCAATCCCTGCTGACCCTGTTTCAAGTCCTCATTTGCATGGCCACACGTATCAGCCCTCCCATTCAAGTTACCGGACCAATCCCTGCTGTTTCAAGCCTTCATTTGCATGACCAATAGGAAGTGGTTGTTTGGGCGGGGTGTTCAAACTGTGGTGTATAAAAGTGTGTGTGTGTGTGCATTCAATAAAGGAGATCCCTGTTGGAACTTACATACAGCCTGCCTGGTGTTTGTTCTGAGCTGGATTCGAACGGCACATAGCTGTAGTTCGAATCCTGGATTATCGGACGATCGAAGAATCAGACGTGTGGTCTGACATCTGATCCAATAGTAGCAGAGGAGTGCTGGGAGAGTGGAAACGAGCGAGCAGGGGCTCGTTACAATAGTCTTTTACCTCTTATAGGAGACCCCTATCTCACACTATATTCTGCTACTTAACAGTATTACTGAAACAGACTGCCTATGCTGGCACCAGCCCCAATAGCCCTTTCAGGGTCCATTTGGTAAACCGCAGGGCTCCACACTGCCACAAGCAACCCAGCTGTAAAGGTAGGTTTCACTGGACAGCCGTACATAGGTAGACAAGACAAAGCAGAAAGCAAAAGGCTCACCATGTATTCTGCCATCTCACTGACTCCTATTAATGCACAACTGCCACTTGATTCACTCCGCGTGGCTGCGTACTCACCAACTGTCGTAGACGGAATTAAATTTGATACAGCACTTATCCTAGAAGAAAAAGGTTAAGGTGCACCCATATAGCATAATGCTAGAGAAACTGAAGTGGACACGAGCAACTGTATAGCAGTTTCTACTTAGGATAAACAACTGATATTTATTGATATAATCATTAATAATGTATTCCAGGCTTTTCCAGGTATTAACGACTCATTAAAATGTGTTGGATATATTGTTAAATCAACATCAAGTGAGAATTGTTTTAAAACTAAAGTTATGTGTCCTTGGCACATTATAATTATCAGCAAGATGTAGCCCAAACAAAACCACAAGTTCCCAAAGCAAGGATACAAAGAGAGAAAATACACAAGTTAAACTGAAGTGTTCTAAAAGTTGATATAAGGGAAAGTGGTGCTCTGAATGCTCTGGGTATCCATAATATCTTTTGTCAAGTGCACTCAAACCCAGTCATTTCTAAAATTGCAGTGTACCAGTTTTTGGTGGTGGCTGCATTTCATCAGGC